TGGCACGCGTGCCACGGGTTCACCATCACTGGGCTAGACAAATCTAACCATTGCTTAAATAGGGAGGAAGCCACCTCATGTAAGTCACCTCGGGTTCCTTGTGGAGTGCTTCAACTAAGGGACATTATGGAAGTGAAATTGATAACGCTAATAATAATTGTGGGATATAAATGTGACATTGAGGGGGAGAAGGAGGTACTTGCTCAAGGGCTTCATAAAATAACAAACTGCTTTGGAAATTAGGAAATAAGTGCTGTCATTGGGATATTTATTCACTTCTGCATTTAGTTGGTGTCTTTTATAAAGTTTTTTTTAAATAAAAGAACATATTAATGTGAATTACTAATATAGTAATATATACCATACTATCTGTGTTAATGGAGGAGAAGCTCCTCCTCTTTTGTGCTACTAGCATCTTGTGTTAGCTGAAACAATTTACACCCTACTGATTTGGGGGCAGGAGTGAATATTTCACTGTGGACCTAGTGCCACAAAGCTGCTCTATCATCATGCTAGGAAGATAATGTTTTGTGTCACTGTTGCCCCAGCTCCAGCAGCAGCCTCCTCCACTAACAGCCAGAAGCTGTTGAGCTGGTCTGACTGGGTGGAACCTGCAAGAATCATGGAAACTGTAGTAGATACTTCCAAATGAAGATATTTTGAAATATTTTAACAGTTGCCCTCTTTTATTATGTAGGTTGCATTCATTGCTTTTTTTGGTACATAAATATTCTAAATCAATGCATGGTTAATCAAGTAGCACTCATGAAGTCACTGTCATCATTTCCCCATAACTTGTAATACTGTGTCAAAAGCCACTTGTTCTTGACACAGGGGTACTGTTAAACACAATTTATGTCTATATGCCTGCACATCCCTGTTCCTATGAGTGGAGGTGAACAGCAAAGATTTTAGTAGGGCTTATGGATGAGGCTGGGAAAAGAAACTGAAGAACAGTGCTTGGTTTCTCCAGTGTTATCCACAATCTCCACTGAGAATTTCTTCCACTCTACTTATTTTCAAATTCCCATGGCTCAGAAGCCACTGGCAATACACGGAAGATTCTATCTGCATTTATCAGGAAATAAACACCACAACACTCAACAGGAGGACTTAACTTTCCAGTAATCATGCATAGGGCTCCACTTCCAGCAGACTATCTTCTGTTTCTGTGCAAAGTTTTCTTTGGAATGGGCCAATTTCCAGGGGTTTCAGGCATTGTGGGAAACTTTGGCTTATTTAGGGGTGCTGAGGACTATTCAGATATATGGATTTCAAGCATCATCTTATTACTGTAAAATACACTTTCTTGCTTTCATCTCTTGCCCTAAATTGAAGGACCTGTTTTTCACAGCACTTTCTTTCAATTACTTAAATAGGTATACAGTAAAAATATTATTGCTGTTCTGAGATATATGTGACTTCATGGCTTTCCCTTTTCCCAGATAATTTAGCATGTTATGCTCATTATTTGCAAAGTCAAAGCTTCGGTGCTTTTGTATTATCATTTTGTCTCTTGATCAGAGAAGAGAAAATTGTGCAGTTGCATGTTTGTTTCTTTTGACACAGTTGAAGCATCAAAAATCTGTACTTTAGGCATAGCTGTGAAAAAACATTTACGGTGGCTTTGTGCTATAGTAGATTACTGTCTGAAAAGCTCACATTTGGACTGAAAGATCCTGGGCCTGAATTGGTGCTGGAAGTCCTATCCTAGAATTCTTTGTGTGGAAAACAGCAGTTTTCCAATCTTGATATTGAATACCCCTTTATGAAACCTGCAATTTAATCCTAGTTTAAGCCATTTGTAATTGGAAATGTGCTGTGTGTGTGTGTGTGTGTGTTTGAGAGGAGGCTTCAGGTGTGTGACCTCAGTCTATTTCTTGGCTAGCTAATTCACATGGAGATAATGCAGCATGACCAAATACCTGGCCAGGTCCTTTGCTAAAGCACTGGCTGCTCTGTTGGTTGACACATCAAGTAGGGAGCCCGCTTCGTTCTGCCCTGACTTCTTCCAGACAAAGGTGTCAGCTGAGGAAGTGCTTCTCCAGCCAGTTCCTTGGTTGGAGAGTTGGCTTACTTCGCCTTGAGCTTTCTCCAGCTAGGGAAGGCCTGGGCAGCACAAAGCCCCCCAATGGGATGTCCTCACTCCTCTGTTTATCTCCCACATGCTCAGGGAAGGCAGGTGTGTGTGAAAAAGTCACTTTCCTGCCCACTGTCCCTCCTGACCAGGAGGGGCCACACCCAAGGCCCCACAGGCTAGTTGGGCCACCCTGGTGGGCGATGTTTGACCCAAAGTCTGGAGGCTCCTGATCCATGTTCCTGTGCAGGGTTATTTTCAGCCAAGGACATGCGATTTGTAGTGTGGTTCAGGGCTTGCGAAGAGAAGTTGTTTTTGGGGAGGAGAAGGGAAAGGGAAGGAAGAAGAATGCTGCTCTTTTCTACATGCCTGAAATCTCTTGCTTTCTTGTACATAGCTAAAAGATGTGAGTTTGTCCATTGTAAACCGAGGCACTTTATTGGATTCATAGCATTGGGGTGGTGGCAGTGGGGGTTGGGGACTGTCTGAAGAGGAGGGCAGGAAAAGATGTCCATTTTCTTTCTGAAGATGCCTTATATAGTTTACAGAGTTTTTTTCCGTGGCATATTTCCTCAATCCCTTATTTCTCTTTGCCCCCTTCTTTCAACAAGGCAATAAACTGTTAGGTACTCTTAAACTGAAACTCTGTAACTCTTTTGAATGTTTGCATTGGGGAACAAAATTAAAGCAGTACATAATGAAAAAGTTAGGTACTCCAAGCAGGCTAATTTTCTCCTCATATTTATTCCCTTCCTAGATAGCAGCTTCAGTATGCAAATATGCTTGAAACATGCCAGGGGCCTAGCAGACTGCAACATTTAGGTTCTTTTGTTTCTATGGCAGAGCACACTGCGAAGTTTTTTTTGGAGATTGCCCACACCTTCCTCAGATACCTGTTAAAATGCAATCATGAACATTTTCCAGACATGTTTTAAGAATTTCTTCTTTGGCAGGATTACATGGGGTTCATTGTAATTCAGTTTAAAAATGGTGATGGTTCAGTTTAAAGTGGTCTCTGGTGTGAAGGGTGCATTCTTTAATGTTTAGTAGGGTTTTTTAAACAACGTACTGAATTCTGCCTGGAAGATGATAAGGAATCAGTGCAGATGTGGGGATAGTGTTGTAGCCATGTGGAACTGGGGGAAAGAACTGTATGTTGCATAAATAATATGTCTGAAATTTTGTAAAACTGTGTTTATTATTATTATTCCATTACATTTCTATACCACCTGTAGCCAAAGCTCTCTGGGTGGTTCACAATAATCAAGTCACCTATCCAGATTTCACCTGTCATACTCCCATGCCATCTCACTCCTTTAAATAAATGATAAATAAATAAATGATTATCACTTTGTCCACTTTGAAAGCAATGGGTTTATTGACTGATTCAGCCACCCTTTCACAACCTGGTGCCAACTTGCAGAATTTCTGATAATTGCTTATGCTTGCTGGGACTGATGGGAGTTGAAGTCCAAAAGATGTGAAGGCACTAGTTTGGGCAAGCTGGATTAAGTATTCAGTAGAGTGCAAATAATTTGTACATATCCCTTCAGTTTTAGTCTATTGTAATGTGGGAAGAAGTGGTATGAAGGCTGTATTGCTATTTCTTTCATTATGTATCTGGGCATTGGCAAGATTTTAAAGACAGTGCCATGTTTCACATAATGTTTTATAAGAAATTATTCAAATAATGTTGCCAAGGCAGAGGGAGACATCACAGTATTTTAAGGATGCTAATGAACTTATAACTTAACCCTCTTCCAGCATGCAGCCCATATTTATGCTTGCATTGGTGAGATAGAAGTGTTATCAAAGAGATAAGGCCATTGACCATCTGTCAACAGATGATGTATAACTTATGCAATGTACTGTACACCTTTGTGATCCTTGTCACAATAATCCAAATGCTAAAGAGGGCAAAATTTGTAACAAAGACTTTCATTATAAAGATAGTTTTTCCTACCAAAGAGGCATACATAAGTGGAACTATATAAGATTTCATTTTGACACCCAAAGAATATAATAATAAAAAAAAAGATTCAAACAATATAATACAGGACCCTGCCCCAAGGAGCTTACCATTTAATATTTAAACAGTGGAGATGGCAACAGATGCTAGGGCAGCAAAGAAGGGGCAAAAGGGAAGATATGGAAAAAGCTATATGTAAAGCTACCAAAATGCAACAATAAGTGGTACTTCTGAAGTTGCTTCTGGTGATCATAGCAACTGCTGACGAAATATTATTTGTGAAATCCCAATGAAAATCCCAGTTCTCTTAGCCCACTTAGCTTCATCTTCTCATATAAACTGAAGCTGTGCCAGAATAATAAAATACACTGTAAGATGTCCTTAGGTCTCTTCCATATCCATTTGCTACAATACATTTTACTTACCATCTTCGAATTAAATCTGTAGCCTGAACCTTGATCCAAACTGCATTTGTTAAGTTGTCTAACCAAGCAATCAGCAATACCATTGAGGAACTAAAGCAGTACATATAACTTCTTTGATTTGATACAGGGGTTGCAAGCTCCTTCCTGCTCTTGGAACCCTTCAAAGATGGGGGACAATTTTTTTCCTCTCCCATACATGAGTGGAAGCACTTTCTGTTCATGTGGTGTTTACATGCATGCAATAAATTTCACAAGATTAACAAAGCATCCCTTTTCTAGCCTCCCCATTCAAGCTGTCTTACAAAATGAGGCAAATATAGGAACATCAGGTCATGTACCTTAATTAGGTATGAACTTCTGGCAGTCTCAATGTAACAAGGATATAACAGATTTGGTTGACCACAATGTGGCAGGAGTTCCTGGGTGTTTGCTGCTTGTTTGCAATGTAGATTCATCTAAGTAGTAGCAACCCTTCAATTTCCACATTGTAATATCGAATGTTAAAATGCACATCTTTAAATCTCTTTAGAGTTCGACACACTCACCTTCAGAAGAATGGGATTTTCCTACATACACTGAAGCACTGACATCTCAGAAAGCAAAATTAGTTTTCAGGTATGAATCCATTTATATTCTTTTTCTAGTTGCATTGTTCCCTATCTCTCCTAGACTTCAAATAACCCAGACATCTGTACAAGTATGTGTATGTGGGTGGATATATATGTACAAACACGCACACACACAGAATATACATATCTTTCAACATGGTGCCTGTTATAGATTAGATATGTTTTTTCCTTCAAACTATTGAAAAAGGCGAATACTGTGAAAAATAGTAGCACTACATAGATTCAGATTGGTTTGAAAGCCTCTTCATTTGTCTTCTCACTGTAATCAGATCTGAGAGCATCAGTTCCTTGTTAAAAGCTGGTAAGAGGAGGGGAAAGACTGGATTTGGGTTTGCTTTGCCCATTTGCCAGTCTTCTTCTCTGTGCTGATATTGGCCATGGAGAGTTGGTGAAGTAGGCAAGGGAACATGTAACACCATGTCTGCCTTGCCCCACAACTAATAGCAACCACAGGGAGAATTGTATTTGAGGAAACAACAGCACAGGTGGGGAAAGAGTTAACCCTCTCATTGCTACATCCCCATTGTAGTTCACACACAGGCACACCTTCTGTGTGGAGTTCGTTTGCTTGTTTGTTTAAGATCTGTTTGTGACTCTTTTGCATCAAATGCAGTTGGGTCTTTACTGTTGTATATGCTACATGTTCAGAACAGAAAAAGTGACATGATGCTAAATAGTCAAACCCAAAATATGTATTTATTTGTGGCATTTCTGCACTGCTTTGTATAATAAAATTTATAAGTGGTTCACATATTAATATTAAAACCACCTTAGACTAATTGGAAGCAATTCTGGTTACAATAATATCACCAAGCAATACAAGTAGCAGTAAACAGCAAAATGATTTACAAGCCAGGAAGGCCTGGGTGAACAAGTGTGTTTTCAGAAGTCATTTAAAGTATGCTGTATTCTCTACCTTCTGAACTGTATGGAGGAGGTTTTTCCAAACAAGAGGTGCACGCACATACATACATACATACATATATATATATGAAGGCTGTCTGCTAGATATCCTTTTCCCAAGTTTTCTAGGGCTTTGTATGACAATAACACAAGCTGTAGGAAGTTAGTAAAGTTTTGGTCGCACAGGTCTTATGTGAGCATAGCTGGGTATTCCAGTCAGCACCCCAGCTGCTGCATCCTGCACTGGCTACTGCTTCCGAACCAGCCACAAGGGTTACAGTAGCATAAATGAGGTCACATGTGCATGGATCACCATGCTTAGGCTGGATAAGCAGGCATAGTAACCAAAGTTATGCTGGGCTACCAAAGTCACCTGGGTCTCTCATGACAGAGATGCACCTCCAAACAATATATCAGCTCCTTTGCAGGTTCCCAACCTCCATTCCCAGACCAGGGCACTGCCAACCAGTTAGGGTCTATCTTATTAAGATTCAGCTGATTAGACCTCATTCAAGCCATAACTTCACTCAGGCATCAGATCTTACTATGAATGGTCTGTCAGTTTCCTGGTGACACCTTGCCTCAAATCTCCTAATGACTTCATGTGGATATGCATAGAAACATAGAAACAGAGCAAGTCAGAAGGGGTCTCCCAGGCCATCTAGTCTGACCTCCGGCACCAGCCAGCTCCGCTCACAACATGACCACCATGTGCATGTCCAGCCTATCCTTGAACACCCACACCGATGGGGCCTCACGAACTCTCGTGGAAGCCCATTCCACACCCTCGGGGTCCTGACTGTCAGGAAGTGCTTCCTGGCATCCAAATGGAACCTTGGTTCTCTGAGCTTTGTTCCTTTGGAGCGTGTCCTGCCTTCCTCTGCAGGGGAGAACAGATCTCTACCCATCTCCATTTGGCATCCCCTCACATACCTGTATGTTGCCAACACATCCCCTCTGAGTCTCCTCTTCTCCAGGCTGAAGAGACCCAGTTCCCTCAGTCTCGCCTCATACGGCATCCCCTGCAAACCGGCCACCAACCTTGAGGCCCTACGCTGCACTGACTCTAACCTGTCTATATCCTTTCTGTAATGAGGGGCCCAAAACTGAGCACAATACTCCAGTTGCGGGCGCACCAGAGTTGTATACAGTGGTAGTAATACCTCTCTTGATCTAGAAGCCACATTTCTAGCTATGCAACCAAGGGTGGCATTCGCCCTCTTGACCACCGCATCACACTGCTGACTCATGTTTAGCCTGCAGTCAACCAGCACCCCAAGGTCCCTTTCACAAGTGCTGCTCTCCAGCCACTTGTCCCCTAACCTGTACTTATGACACCTATTCCGATGCCCCAAGTGCAAGACCTTGCACTTATCCACATTGAATGCCATCCTGTTGTCTCCTGCCTGCTTCCATCGTCTGTCCAGATCCTTTTGGAACTGGAGTACCTGCTCCTCAGTTGTGGCCACTGCTCCAGTTTTAGTGTCATCTGTGAATTTGATCAGCAGACTGTTCACCCCTTCTTCCATGTCGTTAATGAAAAGATTAAACAGGATCGGCCCCAGGACAGAGCCCTGGGGGACCCTGCTTGTCACTGGCTGCCATCCCGATGATTCCCCACTAATGGTTACCTTCTGCTTTCGGTCAGTCAACCATGCCCTAATCCACCGGACAGCGCTTTGGTGTATCCCAAAACTCCTCAGTTTCTCCACCAGGATATCATGGGGCACTTTGTCAAAGGCCTTGCTGAAATCCAGGTATACCACATCCCTTGCATCACCTCCATCTAGCCATCTCAAAACCTTGTCATAGAATTCCACAAGGTTTGTCTGGCAGGACCTGTTTTTGCGGAAGCCGTGTTGTGTGGCTGTCAGCCTCCCTTCCCTATCTAGCATCACTAGATCTCTCTCTATTATGAGCCTTTCCATTGTTTTTCCTACAATAGACGTAAGGCTAAGTGGTCTATAATTCCCCATGTCCTTTCTACTACCCTTTTTGAAAATTGGGACCACTGATGCCACCCTCCAGTCCTCTGGAACTTCACCCGTTCTCCACGAGGCCTCAAAAATGGAGGCCAGCGGGTGTGAGAGAACCTCTGCCAACTCTCTAAGTACTCTCGGGTGTAACCCGTCAGGGCCTGGCGCCTTTGTAATGTCCAATGCCCTGTGGAGCCCCTCGACTTCAAGGGGGGTGACTCTAATCTGTGTCCCTAAGTCCCCAGCCTCTTCTAATCTCCTATGCAAATATCCCCTGTCCTGCTTTGGGGAGAACACAGAGGCAAAATAGTCATTTAGCATCTGTGCCTGTTCCCTCATATCAGTCACTGGATCCCCTTCCTCCTTATTTAGTGGTCCCACCACTTGTCTCCCCTTCCTCTTGCTATTTGCATGCTGAAAGAAGCCCTTTTTGTTGCTCTTGATATTCTTGGCAAGTCTCAGCTCGTATCAGCCTTAGCCTTGCAAAGAATCCTTCTGGAACGGGCCTCCTCCTCCCGGTATACCCTTTTGTCTATTTGCCCCAGTACGCATTTCCTATGGAGGTCCCTCTTTCGTCTAATCCTTTTAACCACCTCCTTTTGCATCCATGGCGGCACTCTCCTCCGCCTCCCCACCTTACTGACTAGAGGTATCATCATGGCTTGTGCCTCCAAAACCTCCCTTTTGAGTGCTATCCACCCCTCCTCAACTCGCTTACCTTCCAGTAACCTATCCCAGGAGACCTTCCCCAATCTGGCCTTCAGTTGGCCAAAGCTGGCCCTCTTGAAGTCCCAGCTTCTAGTGCTCGACCTGCTGCCCGTCCACAGTCCCCTGATCTCAAAGCAAAGGATGGAGTGATCACTCACATCCAGA